TCCCCCCCGCGCATGTTCCTTTATGAGGGTAAAAGCCGGTCGATGTTTTTTCTAGTCTGTAACAGTCGGCGATGGCACTTAATTATTGTGGCGGTTGGTAACAAGCATCGCAGGATGGCGATGTGTGCATATGAATTGGGCTTTCAGTGGCTACTTCGAGCTATTGCAAGGTTTGAAAAGGCAACATCCGGCAAGGACTATGTAAACAGGAAAAAGGCAAGGGCACCGGGCTTGGCTGTTGGGCAACAACAGCAAAAGGAGAGTTGCCTCCCCCGGTTCCCTCCCCCAGCGCTCTGTACTTTTTCACTAGTGGGCTTCAGTCGGACTCGGCGGCGCGGAGTGCCTCCTTGTCGCGATCACAGTTTCTGCATCATCTCCCCCAGCACGGGCATGTTGCGGTCTGCACTCCCCGCTGCATTGTCTGCGCTCTCTGGGTTGTCCTCTCCTGTCTTGGCTGACTCTGACTCCCCCAGTCCACTTCGTCCTCCTCCTGCTTTCTCGCACGTCGGCCACAGACTTGTGTGTCGCAGCGGTGGTGTCTCCCTGGCCTCCCCCTCGAGACTTACATGCTTGGGTGGTTGTTTTTCTTCCCCTTGCCATTCGCCTCCGGATCCTTCGTCGGATCTTGCGAGCTTGCTTGAGTAGGCTGTTGGCTTTCTGAGGAAACCGGATCACATGGGAACGTGTTTCCGCGGCAAGGTCGGGCAGGTACTTGTCGACGATCTTCGTGAGCTTGTCCGCTGCCTCCCCCAACTTGCACCTTTTTCAAAACGCTCACGGTGCTTGTTGTACTCCCCCGCCTCGGTGTCGTCCAGCGGGGTACCGGTCGCGAGGTCAACCCATACCCCGTCTTCGTCATAGATCTCTCTGTGCCCCCATTTGTCCAGTGGCCCAGGCAGAAAGTGCAGTCCCAGTCCTCTCTTGGTCGTAAACCGAGTCATTTGAGCAAAGGGCACCTGTGGAGTTCGCATGTCCCCGCTTCCTTAGCAGCTTGCTGGGTGCCTCCTTGGGACATGGGCTTCCAGTGCCTTTCTCCGTGCTACCGTGGAAGCGGCATGCTGGATCAGATCTTTCATGCACGCCTTGTTGTAATATGCCACCCCCTTGTCTGCACAAGCGGCACTGCTTTTTCCCCCTGTCTTTGGGGCCATTGCACCACGGAACTTCACACTCTCGGTCTCCCTGCCAAGTCACGAACTTCCGGATGTTATTCTCCCCCACCCAGCGGCGGTGTTCTTGGAGCGAAGCTCTGCCGGCAGCTTTAGAGCGAGCTTGCTGAAAGGTCCCGTTTTCCCCTCCGCGAGCAGGCTGGGGCAGAGTATCTTGCAGGCACCAGGTCACCGTGCTGTAAGTAGTTTTCGAACTTGCCGGTCGCCTTTATTGCGCGCCCCCCTAAGGAAGCACCAGGGCCTCTTAAGCATAACGGCAACGGACGAGTGGTCTCAAGCACCGCTGGAGCAACTGGAAAGGCTCTCCCGGAGGTACAGTCCGGGCCAACCCTTCCAGCTCCCCCCCGATGCAAGGAGGTGACACACGCCCCCAAGCAAAGGTGCAGTACAAGGAGGAGTCTCTCTCTCTCTCTCTCTCTCTCTCTCTGTCTCTCTCTCTCTCGCTCTCTCTCTCTCTCTGTCTCTCTCTCTCTCTCTCTCTCTCTCTCTCGCTTCTCTCTCATCTATTTCGCTTTTGCGAAGGCTTCCTGTCAAAAAGAGCACCTTCTCCTTGGGTCCCACCACCAGCTTCGCGACGGAGCGGCCGCGCATGCTCCGGATCCAGACCTGCCAAACAGGCAGCGAAGGAAGAGTGAGAGTGCGAGTGAGAGTGAGAATGCACGACCATGTTCCTGTGATCATGCGTGCGGGCGTGCATCTGTCGCGGCGAGTACTTGTGCAGAGCGGCCTTGAAGGCGCCTTCGGGCACCTCGCCGAAACTGGCCGACAGCGTGGTCCTCAAATTCTCTCTCCACAGAAGAAGGGGAGAGTGAGAGAGAGAAAGAGAGGGAGAGAGAGAGAGACGGAGCGATGCGATCACTGGGGCAAAAGCGCGGCCAAGCTGGAATCTCGAGTCGGGGAGGAAAGGCTCAGGGATGTAGCACCTCAGCCATGCCAGCCTTGCAGAGCGCAAAACACACCGTACCTGAGGGTTGCTTGTTGGCGAGGGGCTGGTTGGTGCCGTCGAGACGGAGCTCCTCGAGGCCTCCCAGCACAGCTCCGCTCCAGCTCAGCAGCTCAGCAGCCCCTTCGCCCCTTCGCCCCCTTTCGCCCTTCGACGCTCTTCGCGCCTTCAGCCCAGCTCCTGCGGGCATCCCTGCGCCCTGACGAGCCGCCATCACGAAGACATGAGACTCGTCCTATCCTTGAGCTTGGCTTGGGACTCCGCGGTCTCATTCTACTGTATCGACCCAGAGGCCTCGTTCGACTGAGCTTCCATGGCGGCGGCCTGCAAGAAAGCATCTGAATCTGACTCCTAAGCCATAGGACCATAGGAGTGACACAGGTCAAAGACACACGTGCACGAATGTCAGCGATACCTGGCGAAACCGCATGGCCTTGGTGATCCAGATCGGTGTACGGCCGTCGCGTGTTGCATTAAAAGAATCCCTTCATATAAGTTGGTTCAGTCTGCTTTCTACTGTTACAGGCACGCTGGTCCGGAGATTCGCGTCGCTCGGTAGAAGTTCGAGTCACGAGATGTGACTATATGCTACTGGTATCTGCAAGTGGCTGTGCTGCCATGCTGGGGGTGGAACCATGAAGCTGTAGGGATCTTCTGGGCGTTCCCGAAGCAGCAGCTCGAAAAGCCCATGCATGAACTGGCGGGGGCAGGAGCTCTGGGTCTGTGGGCCCAGGGCCCAGCAAAACCGCGGAGACCCGTCGCCTCGTGGAGTCGGTGCGTGTCCAGATAGGCTCTCGCATCCGCTTCCGCGTCACGCTTCTTCACCTCCAGCAAAGCGGAGCGCAAAGCCAAGAGGAGCTCTAGAACTCGAGAGAGAGAGAGAGAGAGACAGAGAGAGAGAGAGAGAGCCTTCCTGCGAAGGCTTGGGCTCCGAGCCGGAGCCGCCGCTGGGGACGCGTCGTTCAGGCGCCGGCCTTCGAGCAATTTTCAGCACTTGCGGAGCTCTGCGCTGTGCTCCGAAGAGCGAAGAGCTGCCGGAGCTGACGAGGCGCGCAGCCCCGCGGCCGTCTCAGACCCTCTGAGGGCCCGGGCTGAGAGTCGGTGAGGTCTTCGGCCTTCAGCAAAGCGTTTCGGCCGCAACTGCCGCCACGCACCATGCGGTATGCATCACTGGGCCAGGCAGACTCCGCCGAGCCGCCAGCCTGGGACCCCCCTCAGTGCAGACCTGGAATGTCACGCTCATCGGCCGCCTGAGCAGAGAGAAAATCAAGGAGTCATCGGCCGCCTGGTCAAGAAGCCCGCTCAGGCCGCAGCCCATCCTTGCCTTCCAAGGGCAGTCTACACAAGCCTGGCAAGCCAGTCGCCAGCCAGTCGTCCAAGCCACTTCTGCAGCCGTTGCAGGGCCCTAGCCGTTCTCCCCCGAAGTCAAAACGATGTGCGAAGAAGACTTCCTGAGAGCGTGGTGGCCAAGGCAAGGTGGCCACGGCGGCGGGCCGCCAAGGAATCTGAGCACTCACGCCCTAGAAGCCCAAGCACATCTATCCGCAAGGGCCATGGCCCAGGCGGAAGCCTTTCACTTCACACAGGGCACTTCTGGCCGTTCCCTCCCTCCTCCCCTCTCATCGCAATCTCTGCGCCTGAAGGGTGCTGAGCAGGGCAAGGGACTCTGGCGCCGGGTCGGCCCCGAACGTACAGACAGAATGCTGCCTGGGACTGCGACAACGACAGAAAAAGAAATTCATGAGAGGAGAAAGCTCCTTCGGGCAAGCCCAGGTAGTCGAGAATCGTCAGCTCCATGTGCGGCCTTGGATGGCCTTGGCACGAGGCCAGCGAGCCAAAGTGGGATCCTTTGAGGCGGCGCTTGCATCCCTTGTGCTTGGGACCCGGCGCTGCCGACGTGGCCAAGCCAAAGGCACTCGCAAGCAGTACTGAAACAGAATATGTTCGAGTACGTGGCAGTAGTGTGGAGTACTGCGAGCAAGCATCTAATGGCTGCCCCCGAAACAATACAATTGAATGGACGAATCGTGTCAACCTCGGCCCATGCGCCTTCAGCGCTTGGGCCGAAAAACTGCCTTCCGCACTGTGGCTTAGGGTGCAGGGCAGTGCAGGGCTTGGTCTGGGGCGAGACAAGGATGCATCAGTTTCAGCCAACTGTCAGGTTTCTGAGAGCATCGCGTCGCACGAATTAGGTGCCACTCAGCGACCTGGTGTCATGTTGAAGCCGGTGCGTCGGAACGAGCCGGGCTCTGCCACATCTTGACGCTAGCTGGTTCTACATATCTGCGCGCACCGTCCTCGCAAATGAAAAGAGCTCAGTCCTCCATGCAGGAGATCCGACTTTCAACTTCAAATTCAATTCAGCTGATGCCTGTCACAAGAACCACCAGGACAAGCCTCTGTGCTTGCCACATGTCAAACAGGCCTCAGCTTTCAGGCCTTCAAGGCCATGAGAGCGCCAGTGCCTTTCCGATACTGCTCAAAGCTTCCCATGATGCGTGCATTGGCCCGATGGTGTGATGGGCTGCTGTTCTTTGAACTGTCGCGTTGCGCCCAGAGGGCTTGATGCCGTGGACTGTGTCTTGCGGCGAAAAGAGCACTGACAAATCACGACATACTCCGCACACGCCCGAAAGGGAACGCGAAAGCGAAACCACTGCACCGATCCCCAGTTTTTCCTTCTTCTCCGGCGGGTTCTTTTGAATTGAGAGGAAAGGATTCGGATGCGGCGGTCAGATCGTGGTGCAGTAAAGGCCAGTAAGTGGCCAACAGCAAAGGGTCAAACGATGCGGTGCCTCAGCCTGGGAGCTCATCCGGGTCGCCCGGATGAATCGAAATGAAATCTGGGCACCATCGCCAAGGCTGGAAGAGCTGTCGGTGAAATCTGATCATCCAGAGAGGTCGGAAATGTAAGCTCCTTTGGAATGCAGAGTCTGCAGAGTGCAGGAGTGCAGGATGAGGCAGTTGGCAGACTCCTGGGTGGGGTACGAAGTCGCTTTCATCGCTGACAGCAGCCTCTCAGAGAGACCGAATCGCACAAGCGACCGGGCGGGGACCACATGGCCTCCCCGCCTCCCCCTCCCCCTGCACCCCGGCCCCTACCTCTGGATGCGGTACAAAGTCGCTGGAGGCGTCGCTAACGGTGTCGACCTTGGGCTCATCGGTGGCACTGTGGCATCCCTAGGACCTAGTGTTCGGATCAGTCCGAGGTGAAGACCTCAACTTCTGCACCTCAAGTCCCCCGAAGGCTCCGCGATGCGAGACACTAGACTCTAGAATTTGCCAGAATCTCGGATCCATGCTTTCCGTTGCCTCGCCCAAGCCTCAAGTTTTGCTGGAAGAGCGAGGTTGCACAGTGTCAAGCAGCAATGCTCCGAATCTGAGGTCCAGTCAAGAAGGGTTCGTTGAAACAGCAGTGGAACCTTCACGCTTCGCTCGCTGCGCAAAGAGAAGAACTGAGCACTCCTTGACTGAGTGGTCTCAACTATCAAGACCGAGATGCTTAGCTATAGCTCATGCTCGATCGGATATCTTCTTGGCGTGCAAGCACTCCCAGTGAATGCAAACCATAGTGGCCGCTTTACAAGCAGTTTGCCCTATGCAATGGAGACGACAGACCGTAGCGGACGCTTTACCAGCAGTTTGCCCTGAAGCCCCTCCCTCCCTCTATCTTTTCTTTAGCTTGGGCAGTAGTGGTGGGGCTTTCCCCTCCACCCCGCGCTTGTGCCCCCGACAGTTGCGCGTGCCAGAAAGTTACGTGCACTCTCTCTCTCTCTCTCTCGCCGACGGGGAGAAACCTCACAACGAGAGCGAGAGAGATGCGGAGTGCTCTGACAAGGGCTTCAAGGGCGGGAAGAGCGCGAGGTCATGGCTGTAGTACGCATCAAACCCGATCAGTAGAAGCATGTGCAGGTGCTTTGGGCGTTGGCTGCGGCGGTTGCCACAA